CACTCTTTCTCAAAGTTAATGTAGATTATAAATAAACTTTCCAAATTTTATAGCATGCTATCACAATCTATAGCAAATAAAAATCATTCTAAGAACTAGATGTAATTTTCTCAAAATTTACCTGTCATTTTTTCTCAGTGTATTTGGTTTTCAAAGGGCTTTCTAGTACATTTCAAATCTTTTTAATAAATGTTTTGGTAGTGTCTTTGCCACCTATGATGTACAAAATCTAAGAAAACTATCATACCTATTCTTCGTTTCAGATAATCTCATCCTGCTGACAATGAAGAAAGATCTGTATTATTTCAGTGTCTTATAAAAATAATTTTTTATCAGTTGGAATGACATGACCAAAATTTAACAACAAATAACAAAGATGTATACATCTTATAGAAAGACTTATATTCCTCCCTTTCTTTGTGCTCTTTTTAAGTAAAAAAAAAAAAACTTTCTCCAAATCAATCTGTCAGATTCTCTTTATATATTGTTTCTCTTACTGATTGAAAACTTTAAAAGTTGAGATATCCACAACTAAGAAACCAAGGGGAAAATTATAGGGCCCAAGTTACTTGAATATATACTAACTACTAGTTAATAACCTTTCTTAGAAAAAAGGGGAAACAGCTATTTTTATACACAACACACAAAAACTGTTGATTTTTCTAAAATCACAATAAATAGGATTACAAATATACATTTATACTAAATATTTCATATAATGCTACAAAACCCAATCTCTCAAAGAACCATTTTAGGAATCAGGAGTTTTCAGAAAAGTTAGCAACTTAGCCAAGTTATTCAGGTATAAAGAAGCTTAAAACACAATTATATGTCATAAACTTATGCATTTCTTCCTCTACAACATTCTCCTTATTAGACTCAAGAAGTGGAGTTAGCAGGGGAAAAAGTTTACTGTGATAATTCTAGCTAATGAAAAAAATAAAATCAAATAAGAATAATAGTACTTTATTTACTATGCCAGTATTATAAATGAACCATCCAAATTATATTTAAAAGCAGTTAAAATATTTAAATATCTGTGTTCTGACATTAAGAAATAATAGATAATACTAGCTAACATCAAATATAATACAGACAAAATGACAAACCCACACAATTTATGTTCTTTCTTCTCAATTCAATTTATTTAGCTTTCAATAGTTAAAATTTCTGTTAAACATATGGATGGTTATGAGAACCTTTAGAGTATAAACATTTCTGAGTTTATGAGAATGTAGATATTTCTAGATAGCTGAGGCCATATTCCTTCAAGCAAACTAGTATTTCAATCGTCTTTGAAAGGGAAATTTGAAAAGAATCATATTCTTTACTTCAAGAAAATACATTAAACATAATTTACACGCTCTTTCTCATCTCAGGGTCATGAGTATGGGTAACAGATGTTGCTATGTGTCTAACAGTGTATCAGCCTTTTGTGTTTGAGTGAATAACATCAATTTGCTGTTCTGTCTGAATTCTTGTATTCAACATTTTTATATGTTTTCAGAGTCCTCACTTGCTTGAAAAGTATCAGCCACTGTTTTCTGATCTTGTCAGTGTATTTGTTTAAGCAGCATTTCCCCAACAGTAATTTGTTATGGATTCAGAAACCAGACCACTAACCTCATTAAGACAAATTGACAGTAAAAAGACACAAAAATGAGAATTTCTACTGAGCTAAGTATATGGACACAATTTTCAGTGACTATATTTTTTGCTTAACTTTAGGTTTTTGGGCAATATTCCTTACAGTTCAGAATGCCAATAATCTGGGCTCTTGATAGGTGAAGGGTTTAGATGTTAATGTTTTCCTAGTTCATATCAAATTACAACATAATTACTGCATATTTCCTTTATAACTGTCAAAATAACTTATACGTTAAGATTTCCATTGTATAATTCAAGTCAAACACCATGATGAATATAAAGGTGAATCTTAATTCATTATTTTTTACCTTCATGTACGCAGGTGATTCTTGCTGGAATAGCTATGAATTTCCAGCTAATAAACTAAGAACAAGTTTGTTACATTGATATAGTTCCAATTTGTAGATGATTTCAGTTAATAGTAAAATCAAGTTATCTTTCAGCTCAAGAATAAATGCAAAAGCGTAAAGAAAGGTTTATATGCTAGATTTCTTAGGATATAATGTTGAAGTATATGCCATTTGGAAATGAGCTGATCCTTATTAATTCTTTCAATAGTGACACATTTTAGAGTGACTTAGTCTACATGTGGAGCTCTGTATTTGTGATGGGGCCCAGAGGAGAGGAAGAATTTGCTTGTCTGAATTAAGGGTGGTACTTATCTCAGGTTATAGCTCGCTCACCAGTAAATAAAAAACTGCAATTCCAAGACTAAATTTAAAAAGGAGTAGTTAATACACTTAGGAACTGCCAAAATCCAGGAAAGAAAATAAACAAAAACAAAAAGAAATAACTCAATCTTGAAATCCATAGCTCTGTTAATAAGTAAATATACAAATGTAAGCTCTTTCTAGAAATAACTAAAATTATTTCCATGAGGAAAAAAATCCGTTTTTTTTTTCTACGCTAGAATATTGAAGAAATCTTTGTGCTGATAAAAATATACTGAATGACACAATGAACTTGAGCAGAATTTGCAAGAATATACCACAGACAAATGTAAGAGATATCATTAAGAATCCTACGAATCAAATAACAATGTAAATGATGGAAACAGTGGGTTTCTTATTTCATGCACACACACACCATTTGGTAAACTTTAGCAAATTCTGTCAGAACAAATTCTGGCTATGTTACAAATTTGTATCATTTTAAAAACTCAAAAATTAGAAATACATAAGGGCCTGCAATCATTCTGCTACCTAAAAGCAAAGTAGAGTTGAAGTAGTTAGTGATGAAATTATTATTGTTTGTCTCTACCTCTACTTCTTACATATACTTGGAAATACATAATTATAGCGCATATATAGTATATATTTATCAAAATAAATAGTGAATAAAATGTTTTAAAAATCTTTTGCAAAAGCAGTCATTGACCCACAAAAGCATAGTGATATAATAATATACTTTATTAAATAATGCAAATGTCTATGTAATAAAAACAGACTATTATACCAATAGCACATATGTTAAATAGGAAGGAAATGTCTTAAAATATTCAAAGAGAATATAAAACGAACCTGTAAAGAAACACTATGAAATTTTTAATAAAATGCAAACTGGATGCTTAAAGAAGTATCCTTTAAACATCTAATAAATAATGTACACATTAACACTATAGGGCACTCTAAAATTACAATTTTAAATGAGATTAAATGAATCCCATTTATAAGATAAAAGGAAAACTGATTGTTTAATTAGATTCTTATTAAATACAATTTCCTAGGCATCAGATTAATAATGGATCCAGAAAATAAAGCAGCTATATATATGGCCTTTTACACAATAATTTAACAAAATGCAGTGAGCAAATAAACATATTTCTATATGTATTTAAAATACTTACTTAGCACATGGTTAAGTATAGCACCCTAGACAAAGAAGAGGAAGAAAATGATTTATGTTCATATGTCCTATGATCCATATAACAAGCAATCGATCATGTTTATCTGATTGCTGAGAATATACATACAATTCAAAGAGAGACAACTGATTTATTTCCTCCTGTGCCCAAGAAACAGGCTAAAAACCAATGTTCCAAAGGGTTTCATTAACTCCCCTAATATCCAGTTGATAATTTCACTGGGATAGTACACTAAATAACTACTTTTTAAACTAACAGAAACAATTAAGTGCATGTCCTATGCATATAATTTGTAACTAAAATAAATGTCAGGAAGAAGCGATATCCCCAACATGTGATTTGAAAAGGAATGTACATTTTTTATGATCAAGTTGATCCATAATCAAGCTATTTTTTATGTCATGAAAACATTTTATTTAGATCCCTTCCAGGTCTATATGGAGTAAAATACAATACTGACTCTAAACATAGATACTATTACATCTGTTCACTTAAAAAAAAAAAAAACACCACCCTAAATACTGAGAGAATTCATAGATTGGATTTTTTTACTTTTCCATCATTCCATGTATAAGTTCTATACAAGAAAGATAAAAAGAATTTGTCTTGAATATTAACATTACTTAAACAAAATCTTACTAGCAGCTTAAACACCTACACAGATCTGTCAACCAGGAGGGAAAGATTCTTTCATTGAACAGTAACCAATTACTGCAGTTATTCATTTTAAAAGATGGAGAAGATGCAGGTCTGTGGCCCATGAGTTAAATCACTTTTAACATAATACAAACACGCACAAAATTCTGCATTCTACAATATTAGAGTAACATTTAATATCAATAAAGACATTTTTTCTTTTATTTTACAATCTTAGTGCAAACCATTTATATAAGCATTTTCTAAACAAAATAACTAGAAAATGTCTTTATAGCATATTTCACAAATATAAGACTAATGTGAAGGCCTTACACACTTTTTTCATTAGTGCCACTATAGACTTTTATCACAGCCAGTAATGAATGAAAGAGTGGTAAGAAAGACAGAACTATTTTTTATACATGAAAGTATATTAATTGGAAAAATATATGGATAATTATCAAAATCCTAATTCATATTTAATGATCACTTAAATAACAAGATCACTCCAGTTAGCTACATCTGCACAACCAGGTTACAAGATTAAAAGTGAAACAAAAAAATGAAACATGAAATCAAAGAATTCATATAAAAATACACAGTAAGGTCAACTACCTCTTCACAGCATGAGAGAATGATTCAACATTTCCATACCTGAAACACGTCTGCTTTGTTCTTTAATAAACTGATCTCCATCTGCTCATGCCCCTGGAAATGTTTCAGCCGTACAACCTGCTGTGCTCAAGCCCCACATAACTTTGTATTTACCTGTTCATAATTAACTAATTATGCCCTAATCAATAGTGTAGATCTTCATTTTACAATGTAAATCAGATAAATGAAATAATGACTAGGGGTCAATCTCATTTTATTTACAAAGCCCAGCGTGAGCATCCAATTTCATTATTTCTTATGTGCCTGAACAGCAGTGAATCTTATCAGCAGACCTGCAGAAAGTCTTAGAGGGAGTGCTGGGAGAAAGAGGTCTACATTTTTATTAAGAATGTATTTGCAAAGCATGTCCATCTCAGAAATATTTTTATGCACAATCCTTAGTATATGTAAAATGTAACAAAGTGCTGACTCAGATTACAGAAAAAGATTTCTGCCTTCATATGCCATACAGCACTAAAGCTGAATCTCTTATACAAGTTTCAACCCATCAAAAACTATTTCAGAAAATAAAATTAACAATGTTAATACTTCATTCTGCTGCAGAGAGTCCTTCTAAATTCCTTGAATAGATTTTGGTGAAATATTCATAAAATATGCCATACTGGGAATCAAGCAAAACAGTGGTAACTTTTGTCAAATAAAGAATATTAAGTGTTTAAAAAGGGGGGGGGGGGGAGGGGGGACATCTGTAATAGTCTCAACAATAAAAGATTAAAATTAAAATAAAAAGAGTGGTCTCATTAAGTAGTAGAATATAAACCCAGGAAAATACGATAATGGGTGTGAATATTCTTATTGTTTATGGTCAGTAATCAGTTTTTAATATAAATGTAAAATTAGATAAAAATTCAAGAAACACATAATAAACAAAGATATTTAATGATAGAGAAATATCATTTCTAAATTTAAGATGGATAAAGGTTAAGGCTAAATTTTGTTTTCATGTTCAAATATCCTAATTTCAAATCTTTTTTCAAAAAGAATTAGTGGATTATGGATGAAGATACATGTTTCTTGATTCATTTCTGAATCTAAAATATTGCTTCCCTCATAATAGGTATAAAATAAACATTTAACTGAATTTATGAAAATGAAGAAATGATATTGTATGTGTTGTAGATGAAACTACCACAAACATTTTTATACGGAAACAAATATTTTTAAAAATGTAAGTGCCTTTTTAAGGATATTAAAACAACAATCAATCAATGTCAATCACAACACAATGATTCTTTCAAAAATATATACAAATGGTTCTCAAAGTGGTGTCCCTGGCCGGCAGCATCAGCATCACCTGGGGACTTGATAGGAATGCACATTTTCAGGCCTCACTGCAAACCCACTGCATCAGAAACTGCTGGGAGCCAGGAGGAGGGAGTAAAGCAGGGAGAAGGAAGAGGAGGAGGGAAATATGGCAGAAATCCTGATGCACTGTAAAGGCTGAGAACCACTACTTGTGTCATTCTTGTATTCCAGTCATTTCATTTCCTTTCTGATATTTTAGTGTTTTTTCTTTCCCCGTTGCATAACAAACAGCCATCATTTATCTATTGTGCAGTTTTCTCTCACATTTGTCTGTGAATTGGTCCATATTTTATTAAGCACATATTAGTATTTTCTTTGCATAGCAACTGGACCATTATGGTAAAAATTAATTTTGTACCGTGAAAGCATTTAGATTATTTGGAGTAAGTGTTTTCTACTCCCTTCAGAAGTTCTCTTATTCCAAATACCTGTTTCTAGGACCAATAATTACGAGTTATGCAGTTTATATTTGTGATGGGTGACAAATATTCTTAGGGCTAGCCTATCTACCATTGAAGGCTGCAAGACAGAGAATAATAATGTAGTATTCTAATTAGAACCAAGGTGGAAGGGATTGTGATTAATGGTTATACCAAAACCACAAGGCTTAATGATTTCTAAGGAAATCTAAAATTATCACTAGCAATTTCTCACCATATATCAAAGGAGGGCCAGGGTATAACACATTAGCACATTCTTTTCAGAAAATGGCAATGTGTAATTTTTCTTAAAATCAGTTGGAGTCCAGGCAATACTAATAATTATCAACATTAGTAAACTTATGTAGTAATAAATAGTAAGTCCTTTCTTATTCTTAAAACAAAAGCTTCCTGGTTTGCTATAGGTAGTAATACTTTTCCTCCAATGTTATAAGAACTTTTGATAATCCTTAATCTCAGTTTATACATATTTTATATACATATTACTATTATCCAATAATATGGTTGATTACTATAACTATAGATTACTAGTAACTTTACACTTGCTTTTGATTATCTATCACATTGCCTACTCTATTCCTAAAGTTTAAACTATTTTCATTTGCCACTATACCTGAAAAGATGTCCAAAACCACATTTATAGATCAAGAAATTCCAAGAAGCAAGTTGACAATTTACATGTATATGTGCATTTCAATTTCAGCAAAGAGTCTCTTCTAAATCAGTTCAAGATGGAGTGATGAAATATTCAACAAATTTCTGTAGTTGCCTTAAACCTCGATCATTAAAGCTTGAAGATCAAAATTTAATTCTGTAAACTTCTGGAAAGATAAAGATGTTGATGAAGATCTTTCAGCTGGCAACTTGTATAGTCAATAAGCTTTGTATCTCTCTCCTTATTTCTTAACCTCATCCTTAAGGTTGAAAAAATAAAATTATACTGAATACAGAAAGTTTGTATTATGTCAATAAGGACTGAATAAATTTGGGCATTACTAAAAAATATCTAGAGATCAACACAGACATACTCTTACTTAGGAGCTTCAAATCTGAAGTTGTAAAAATTTCATGCTAATAATACCAGCGCTTTCACACAATGAGTCAAAACTAGAATACATATGCTTTACAAGTCTTTCACTCTTACTGAATATGATAAATAGAAATAATGTTTAGTGTAAGAGTCTATAATTGTTTCTCAATGTAGCATTTCATATATGAATATATATATTGAGTTGGATGAAGCAGAATAGCAGACTAATGGAATGCATTGTCTTTCTTGTTTGTTACTGGTAGTGATCAACAACAGTAATAGCACATTGCAGTTAAGTCCCATCGGCTTCCATAGCTCTTCAGTAAGTCCAAATACTGTATATCATCATTTGCCAAAGAAGCAAGAGGGAAAAACATTACTTAATAGGACAATTCTGACAAGACATTATCTAGTATTTTTCAACAATGCACATATCAAATATTTCTGATTAGTGCAAAAAAAAATAGAAAAAAAAGTCCACACAGGCAAATTAAATGCCTTGTCAGTCCAGGTAACAAACCAATCAATTACATTCTATCCAAACCTGACAAGCAAAGGCAACTTTTTGCAGTGATAAGCTTATGGGAAGGACAAGATAGCTGTTCTCCTTTACTTTATGTACTCTATTGAGAGTGTTATCCACATTTTTAAAATCACACTTATAAAAGAGGTTTCCAGGATTGCCTCCGAGGATGAGCTGTGGCAGAGTTGGGTCTCATGAAGGGTATCTACACAGTAAAGTGATAAGAAAAGAACATTAACATTTAAAGATCATAGCACTCTGCACTATGTCTTACGAAACATACTAACAACACCACAGTAGATTCAAATAACATATGATCTGGTCCAGAGATACATACCCTAAACCTAAATGCCAAGATCTTGTGTAGGGTTTTTACTAGTTAAAATGGAACTAATTTTTCACTTGAAACATTGAGTTGCCTCTCTTTAATTATTATTACTTTTAGTTGTGTCAGAAAAAGTCTATCTTACTAAGACAAAACGAAAATAAATGATGAAGGGTTTGTATTTACATAAGCAAACATGTATTTGCTTAATAAATGTCTTAAAAAATAGCAATGTGCTATTTTTTTCATCAAATATGGCATTTTAACAACCCTTGAGAAAGCATGTAACTAACTGTGCTGAAAACAAGCACACCTAAACCAGTATGTACAGGGCTGGTTCTACCCAACTCTAGAGTCTTAGGGAGTAAATTTTCAAGTGATTCTTATTCCCTGTGCCAACACTGTCTTCTATTTAAAAAAAAAAAAAAAAAAACTATCCCAGAAATGTTTGGTTACAATTGTGAAAATTATATCCCTAACTAGCTATTTTAGAGGATTGTGCAACAAGAACAACAGAGAATACAACACACTGTAAATACCTGGTCATTGATTATAAATGCACCAATTTTAGCCAGATTTTCAAAACTCATACATTTACATTTATTTCTCAAGACTTTCTCTAGTGTTTCTTGTACTGATTTCCCCTATTAACATATATCCATTTGCTACCTTTGTTCCTTTACTTTCAGAGGAGAAATTTTAGGTGCATAGTGATTAGAAATTTTTTTTTACTATGGTAAACATAAAAATTTATCACTTTACTCAGATATTTATATTAGTGTAAATGAGGGGAAATTGGCAAGTAGCCACACATCATAGAAAAAGTTCATTTTGATATTTAACTATTAGAGAGATGTGTTTAATGCTTCTAAGTTCCATTGAGAAAAAGAAAGTGAAAAGTGGCACAATCACAGACAAACACAGCACTACTGAGAACAGCTACCATGCTGAACTGAGTAACCGCCAAAGAAAGCAAAACAAAAGTGTACAAGGAAAATAAAGAATATAATGGGAAAGTTTTCAGAGAAATGTACTTATCGACACATGAGAAATAGAGTTGAATCCGCTTGCTGAATAACAGGAAAATAGATAGGAAGAGTTTAATTCCCTTGTTGAATAGTTACATGTGCTAACTTTTCTCAATGCTTCAGTCTTTCAATGAGAGCTTTAGGCACACCCTGAATCATATATTCTGAGCATTGCTTTGTCTATAGGTTAGGCACTACCAGGTCATTACAATGCAAGAGGAAGCAACCACATCATTTACCATAGAAGTGCAATGAACTCTTAATTACAGGCACAAATGATGGAGACTAGCAGACAACACTAAAGATATACGTGTATTCAATTTTGATAGGAATATGAATATACATGCATTGGGTAACAGGAAATCTGCTTTAACCACCAATTAAATATAAGTTGACGTTTAACTTTGAAAAAAGATAAAAAGCTATCGATAGTATTCTTCCATCCTAAAATTTCACTTAATATTCCAAATCTCCCTTAAAGCCAGAGTAAGCAATGTGACTGCCTTGGCTGCTATCATCCTGGGATAAAAGACTTGCGGTCTTGTACTTGAGAGATCAAGTTTTAGCTTTGTCTTCATTCCCTGTGAACTTAGTATGCTTACTTACAAATTAATGCAGAAAAAAAGATATTAAATAATTTCAAAGGACTTCTCTGATGTATGCACATGCAGTCTGTACCTTATCTAGGTGGGATTGCCTGCTAAGAAGAAGCATCTACTTCTTTTCCCCCCATGATGTCAAATATGCTAGAGCAGTATAGTTGGTGAGGCAGTATGCCTTCAAGAGCATGACTACTCAGTTAAGACTGCCTAGACTCACACACCAATGCTGCCATTTTTAGTTGTGTGATCAAGGACAAGTAATTCTTCTAATTTTCCTCACCCATAAAGTAGGGGTTAAATCAACACCTATCTTATGGGGTGGCTATGAAGATTACTTGAGATAAAATACAAAAGGCACCAGCACATTGGCCCATAATAAATAAGCACTCTATAAATCTCAGCAACCAATATGAAGAACAGTAGATTTATCAAACACTATAGAAGTGTTCAGTGGAAGGGAAAAAACTATACTCTAATACATAATTTATATAGTATAATTTCAATATATAATTGGAATAATTTCTATTTCATGATGTTTAGTGAATATGTACCTCAGTTACCTAATCTCCAAAATGGAGATGTGAAACCTCGTAGGACTACTGAAAAAACTGAATGAGCTAATACACTTAGCAGAGAATAGAGTCTGGGAGATAGTAAGGTCTAACATTAGCTTTATTTTAATTCTCAGTTGATAAAGTCTTTAAAATAATATGTCTGGGTTCAATTATAATTAAAAATATAAGATTTTTATACATTATGACCTAGATATCAAAATCTATCAACTCCAAAATGTTTATCCAATCTTATTTTCAATTTCTGTTCACCTTTAGTTTTATTTCATATGTCCAAAACTATACAAAAATAATACAAATCAAAACATTGTTACAGGAGGAACAGCTAAAAAGGATGTTTGATTTTACAAAAAGAAGAAAAATAAGAAGAGAATATACTGCAGGTCATCTAAAAACATTTCGTTGAACATAGTTTCATTATAATGTTGTTAGGATGTGTGGGAACTTAAATCTTGTTTATATCAATCAATCCACAGTAAAACTGGATTTGCTTTCATTTAAAGTCGCAGAACCTATCTATGGCATTATTGAAGACATGACAGTAGCAACTGGTTTCTAATACTAGAAGCTGGATTATGCTTGTTTTGTATGATTCCAAGCACTGAAATTATTGAGAGACCTGTCAGCTCTCTTGGAGAGAAAAACTGCCAATGGTCTGAGCTGCCACAAGATGGAATATGTTACCTTCTTCTATCCCTGGCAGAAGCTCCTTCCTTGTCACTTAGTAGAGATACTGGGCAGATAATTCAAGTCTCAGATGAATAATGGAATAACAGAGTTGGAGAGCATTTTCAGGACTGTATAGTGTTTGTTTTGGCATCTCTTTGAGTTATAAAAGTTACAAAATTTTAGAAAAAATGAGGTTGAGCCCGCATTTAACAAATGAGAAGATAACTTTAGAAGTAACTTAATTCAAGGTCATTCATCTAGAATTGGGGCTACTGTGCCAGTCTTTCCAAACAACTGAGTATATAATAAGTAATCCCTTCTTTAAAAATTAGCAATATTAACACACTGCAATTAAAAATAATTTTTAAATTACAAAAGCAAATTTTACTAAAAATAAATGAATGAAATGAGAAACATTTCATTGCTATATGTGCTTAAAATTATGATGTTTACTACTCTAAAATTGTATACTCCAGAAATACCACACTTCACTATGTAATTAATGTATACTATGTTCAGGCTTCTGTTTTCTTTACTTTTAATAATTAACTTTACTTTTTTTTAATTTTAAAAATTGAAATGTTAACACATAAGATGAAAAATAGTAAGGAGGGTGTTTTATCTTGAAGGCTGTTTGCTGGGTTCTGTTCTGAAAGAGCTGCATTCAATACCAATCTTTGCAGGTGACACTCATCATGATCTCCGCTACTCAAATTAATCATCACTGGGCCTGGTTGCAAAGAATAATGCAAGTAGAATCTGCAGACGTTTCGTGATTACTTCTGGTATTACATTTCTCATCATTCATAACCTGATGACCATTTATGACAGATACTGGGAGTCACACGGGGCAGTGGCGATCCAATGAGAATTATCAGGGTGTTTCATTAACAAGGATCAAATTGATGTCTCAAAAAGAGAAACCAATGGACACCACCTCAGGATGGTCTTAAATTAAATCTGGACACCTTTGGGCTTTAGGGCCTTTTTAAAGTTTCTTGAGCATTTTTTAAGTAGAAATAAATTCGGGCTTCAAAAAAAATTATGAATCATAAAAAGTTATTTAAAGATTTAATGTTTCAATAGATTTTGAAAGTCAAGGAATGTCACATTAAATACTAAATTTGTGAGACAGGCTAACCATTCCACACGTCTGACAAAATCATCAAATCAACTTAATTATAAAAGAAAAATTACACTAAGTAAACATTTCCTTTTTAACCCAAATTTTATCAGAATACCACCTTAATAAGAAAAATTAGCCGAAACCGGTTTGGCTCAGTGGATAGAGCGTCGGCCTGCGGTCTGAAGGGTCCCAGGTTCGATTCCGGTCAAGGGCATGTACCTGGGTTGCAGGCGCATCCCCAGTGGGAGATGTGCAGGAGGCAGCTGATCGATGTTTCTCTCTCATCGATGTTTCTAACTCTCTATCTCTCTCCCTTCCTCTCTGTGAAAAATCAATAAAATATATTTTAAAAAAAAAAAAAGAAAAAGAAAAATTAAGTGGCAGTTTGGCTACTTTCATTATATAAATACAAATATTTTGAAAATTAAACATCTCTTCCCCAATTTTTACTAATAGAAAAACTATTTAAAAATAACTTTTAAGTAGTTTCCTTCATAAGACCCAGTTTATTTTCTAATTTCCCCTTTAGAATCTCTTCTCTTCATGATGTACAATGCAGCATCAGTTTAGGTCTAATGACATTAAATCAGTGACCATAGTTTTTATAAAGCCAGATTTATGGGAAAAGGCCACATTATTGGTGATAGATATGGCCAAGTAATTTATAAGAACAGTATGTAAAGCATTTGATTTTAGATTTTAACTATTCTGTGCTATAAGACCTCTCTGTTACCCTAAATTGCTTAGTAAATGCTCAAGACAGCCTTGGAAGGATGGTTATTCGGAAGAATAAAGTGAAGAACAGCTGATTTCAGTGGAGAATGAAGAAGCAGAGAACATATGGCCTTCTCTGAATATTAGGGAGGATACCGGAGGGCTTTCC